ATTGCAATGTATCAACTTTTTATAAAATGTATATGTATATTCTGTAGATAAAAATGGTACAAAAAAATGTTATATAAAACATGAATTTACATAAAGAAATTAATGTATGTGTATTTATCTATAATAAATTAAACAAAACTGTTTTGACTGTATGAATGTATGAAGTAGATAATTCTGAACAGTTCATAAGTACTTAAAGAAGAAAACATAAGAGTGTACTTGAACCCAGATAACATTAATTGTTCTACTACAAGCAGATAATTCTCAAGTTCAACATCGTACATCCGCAAAAAATGATTTATTTGAAGTATAACAAATAGTAATTCTTCTCTACGAGAGTAATTATTAGAAACCACGTTTTCGCTGTAGTAATGCATCTTCGATAAGAAAATAATGGAATAGCATACACCAGGTTTTTGACAAACCATTCGATACCACATAATGTCGAAACGAGAAAATCAAGATTCCAAGAAAACGATGTTTTTAAAGACGAGTTCCAAGGATGAATTCCTCCTGCAAGTTCATTCGAGGCGAGCGAAAGTGGTGTAATTAAGCGGATAATTACGAGAGTGCGTCGCGATTCTCGGAGATCCTGAACATCGTGTCAAAAAAGAGTGAACCGTGAAGGCAGTACGGAGCACAGGTAAAGTCTCGTTTAACCGTGCAACAAATAACCTTGCGTACAGGAAACGAACGCCATATTCGTCATAGCGTCACAGCACGGGAATAGCTACGGTGCTGGTACGTAAGTTTCCAACCTGAACAACCATATACAGAGATTCTTTTCGCCGTCAAGTAAACATGCCGCAAACAGCTGAATTTATGCGGCGAGCGATAGATAGGCAAAGAAAACCGTTGATAACATACATGAAATTAGTGGAACACGGGGTTTCAGAGATTAGACGGGGAGATGTTAATCAAATAATTAATAGGCAGATTTATGCCCTGTTTAAGATTGCAGGAATGTAGAAATTAAACGAATGAACTGGTAGCAAGATAACCGGTAACGGGATAAAATAATTGATGTGCTTCCGTATTAATACAGCTAACTGATAAGAGAATTCTGCAGCGTATCTCAATTTATTGATACCTGTATCGATTCTCGAGAAATAAATACCGATCGATAGAATGTGTTGGATTAATCACGCTATAAGATATAGCAAAATTTTATTATATTGCCGCTTTAGTATTATTATATTAGTTTATGATACCTTGTATCATCGATTATTGATCAAGTATAACATTGATACATTGTATCGCTGAAGGGTTACATTACCGATTCGTTATATCGCCGAGTTGTATCATACACGTTATATCGCCGGTGGGTTATATTATAGACACGTATCGACAATGGGTTATATCATTGACGCGTTATATAGCAGATGAATTATATCACCAATGCGTCACATTGCCAATGAGTTGCATCACGGATACAATATATTGCCGATTATAACATCAATACGTTAGACCACCAATGTATCATAACCCAGACCAGTTATATCACTATGTGCTATATTGCCAATGAGCTAAGTCATCAATGCGTTATGTCGCCAATAGATATAATACTGATGTGTTATAACGCCAGTATGTTATATCATTAATGCGTTATATTGCCGATGGGTTATATCACCAATGCATTATATCGCCGATGATTTACATCATCGAATAATTATATCGCTAGTAGATTTTAATACTGATGCGTTATACCGCCGATATATTATATCACCGATTTGACATATCGCCGGTGTTTATATCAAGAATGCGTTATATCACTAATAGATTATAATACTAATGCTTTAAATTTCCAATGAGTTATATGACCGATTCGTTTCATCCCTGATAAAGTATAATGCGGAAGCGTTATATCACCGATTTGTTATATCGCTGGTGTTTATATCAAGAATGCGTTATATCGCCAATAGATTATAATACTAATGCCTTAAATTGCCAATCAGTTATATCACCGATTTGTTTTATCCCTGATAAAATATGATACAAACGCGTTATATCACCGATGAGTTATACTGCCGATTTGTTATACTGCCGATTTGTTATATCGCCGGTGGTTATAACACTGAAAGATTACACCACCGATAGATTATATAACCACTGAGTTATATCGCCAATAGATTACATCATCAACATAAATCTAATGCGCTTTATTGCCGATAAGTTATATCATCGATGCGTTATACTGCCACTTATTAAATGAACGAGTGTTAAACGTCAGTTTCTGGTCAATTTAATAAATTGTCAAACATGTTCGGTTGCTACTGCTTGATCTGCAGTAATATAACACGCGTTTATTCTACACGATTTATTTTAAAGAAATTGATCATCTCCATATAGAATAACGTTCTTAATAAAAAATCCTTTGAAAATGTAAATATTCATTACCCTGCAAATCTGTATATTAAATCGATCAGAAAAATTCTGGTAGAAAGCTGCATAGCCAACTCACGCAACGATTTCCATACTTTTATAAATAGGGTAAAAATATGTTAAATGATGATATTAAAATGTGAGATTAGTTTATGATTGTACTATATGTAAATTTATGAAGTAAATGAAGTTAAACTTAAATAAATTTTTAAATTTAACTAGATTTTCAGTATGTATCTGAATAATATGCTCAAATAGTTAAATGAAAATATGGTAAGTATCAAATTATGTACCTTATTTCTTCAAACTATGATGTACGTATAAAAAAAAATAGAAAAGATATACGATACATGCTGAAATTAATTCTGAATAATGTTTCTGATAATGAAAAGCTAAATGATTATTGGTAAGAAAGTACTCTCAAAGATATATACAGCAAAGAGCACTAAATTATTAAATAGTGATGCAACATTCATCAGAATCTATAAAATGATGTTCCATGTCTAATTTGAAATCAGTTCTATGTAACGTATTGTAGCAAATTATATCAAAAGTTATATTTTTAACTGTTTAATCTCAAATGTATTAGTTTTATTTTTAATAATGATAGTGAAACACTATCTTTACGGTACTTCATTACTGCTATATTTCATATAGCAATACATATATTGCTCCTATATGGAATGAATATGCGTTTTACATTTATTCATCAAATGGAAAGTTAAAGGCATAAGTCATCTAATTCCCATTTTACAAAATGAAAGATATTACTAAACTGATCCAACATCTGTTTTGGTCATATGTTCTACCAGTTTTGTTATGTATTCGAATAGCATTATCACTGATCATACTTTTTCTTTCAATAAACAAACATGCATAGATTGTGTCTACGCATGCAAGACAATATTTTAACTACTTTAACTTACAAACTTATAGCTTATATCATTTAATATTATTGTATAAGTCAATTTATAACTTGCACCATTTTATCTTTCAATAAATAGATAAGAGTGGATCGTATCAGTGTGCAATAGCAATATTTTGTAAATATACATATAAATTTTCTTTCTTTGCAAGTATATAGTTTTGATTTCTACAGACATATTTTAAAATAATGCAGCAGTCACAATTATTCATTGAGATATAATAGGCAGAAATATAATTTTTTTTGTGTAAGCGAAACTACTCTATTATTTCCTACTATGGCAAATACGTATCCAACCATGTAATCATCTAGTTATATAGCATTTGATCTAATCTCTTAAACCTATGATAACAAAAGATGTATGAACTTTGGTATAAATGTACATTACCTCATTTATATGAGGTTAGATTAGATCAGGCGTGGATAAGGGTTAGATCAAATCTACATTAGATTAGATTAATAACTGCAACTGCTACAATTTTTTTTATTAATGAATATTCAACATAACTGAAACTGAAGAATTAAAGTGATTAATAAAGTGAATGTACTGTTATACATTATAAGACTCATTTTCCTTATATAATTATGATTACAATCAGCTTTTCAGTATGCAATTTTTAAATAACTTCAATTCATAAATATTCATGAATCCTATAATAATATTTTATTAAGAACAAAACCTAGTAATTGACAAATTCGTGAACCAGTAATTGACACCATACAAAATAAAACATAATATTTATTTGAAAACAAAAGTATAAATACAAAACTGTAGGCAATATGTATGGAAGACTTTAAAAATTATAAAACCTTAAAAATGTTATGTAATACACACAATACCTTTAATAGTTTATGTTAAGAAACTTAGAAGTTTGCGCTTGCTACACCACTAAATAAGATTTGGAAGTATGGAAATTATTCCTTCTTTTAAATTCTTAAAATATTTACAATTCTAAAGAAGTATTCAGATATGGTTCTGAGCTGTGGGCACTAAATCAAAGCTTACTGTATTTACTTATTAGTTCAACCTACGACTGCTCTAGATTAACAGAATATAGATAGATTATAATCAGTCTAGGAAGATTTCATTACGATTTGAATAGGTAATACCTTATGTCAACTTTTACTCATTACAATAAGAATGAAAGAAATCAAATCTGATTGTATAACGTAGAACATGATGAAACCTATTATTCCATTAGCAATTATTCCTGTAGTTAACATCAATGTCAACTATTAGAACAAGTTACTGTTCCACTACACAGTGCGTAACATGATTAAACATCATTAATGTGTAGTTCATAATGGTCAAATATTCAAGGATATTTTATTTACAATGTATAGTGGATTTGTGATTATGCAATGTATAGTAGATTTAGAATGTACATATTTATATTTAATAGTTACAACAAAAAGTAACTGTGTTTTTACATTATTTTACTCCTTAGCAAATCTGTAAAGTAAAAGGATTATCTAACAGCGCACAGATTATAAGCAAAAATAACTGTTCTTGGATCTAGTGCTGTAATACCCAGAAATGAAAATAGTTACAAATTTTCACAATAAAATACACAACCTTAGTTGTACTATTTAATAAATTACTTTTAAGAGACAAACTTGTCTTTTATGAATTGAGTAAAAGTGTCAACTACTGGTACACTGTCAATTACTATAGCAGTTGTTCAAATCTTACCTGACGGGAATCGTAAGCGTCGGAGAAGTGTTCAGATTCGGCTCCACCGTGCTGCTGCTCGCCGGCAGGACCTTTACGTCGATCGTCACCCGCGTTACGATCCATTGCGTCGAAAACATGGACGACCGTATCGGATACGTCGTCACACGTCCGATCCTCCGTCCTCGGGGCAGATTCCTCTGTTTTGCCCTTGACGAAGAGGCGCGAAATCGCACTCCACATTCAATGAAATCACAGCATCAGCAACGGCTGCAGCGACAATCCGTTCGAACGAGTCCTTGTTCTCGTCATAGCCGGCGAAACGATGCTTTCATAGATTTTCGGCGTTCTTCTTCATACATGCACGTTTTTTTTAATCACAGTATTGCGTGACACGTGTTAAACTTATTTCGAACAATGCAAACAATTACTGATGAAAAAGCAAAGGTTAGGTGCACGAAGACCGCTGAATTTCGTTCGGAGTAAGGTTAGAGTGTGCGTTCCGACGACCGTGCTCGCCAACTGATGAATTATTTACGTTGGTACGACATTGTCTCTGATTTTCAGATCATTTGACACATTCGCGTCAAAACATCCAAAAAACGACACAGGTAACGGGGATATTTGAATGATCACAGGCTATGTTATGGCTCGTGCCGGACACGGGTCTGCGAAAAAAGACACGATGTTTTGAAACTGCAGGCAACGTTCCGTCGACAAGCAGCGCCGTACGTAGCGTTGTTAAAGAGTCACCACGAAATAATGCCGGCTCACGATAAAAGGACGATCAGCAACAACTAAGGACACTGTTTGCCGTGTCTGCCGAGGACTCTTGCTATTTTTGTCGGCAACTCTCCTCCCGCGTTCCACGGTCCGCGGACAATGTGCGAGCTTCTCCTATCGATTTTGCGCGAAACAGTGGAAAAATGAAGTACAGCCAGCGAAGCCGAAGACACTGAAAAATATTTCGTTAGGGGATTCGAGAACACGAACTGTTTCGATTCAGTTTCTTCGAGAGCTATCTTCGTTATTCGATTCTCTCGATATGGGTGTTGGAAAAATGTTATTGGCACCTGTAAAAGGGGCGTACCTCGCGCCACTCTTTCCTTGAGACGAATAAAGGTTCCTCTTATTCCTCGAATACAAAATTCGGCTTGTGTTTCTTATTCGATTTGTTGAATTCTTTATTATAGTTAACCTAAAGCCTGAATATTTAGACTCTCGTTGACAGCGGCACGAAAGCACACGAGAAGACTACCGTCGTACACAGCACAGACTTCACACTAGCACCATCAACAATTCGTCGGTTTTACGCAATCTTTACTCCCTATTTTTCACACGAAATGACCGAAAATCACGATTATGTATACCGATGCACGTAAATCCTCAAGTATATAGCATTGTCAGCACGAAACATCGTCATTTTGCACGAACATCGAGTCCACGGCACGTTCGCCGTCCATCGTGAAAACGATCATCGATTTGAAACGAGATTATCGTTAAGCGATATATCGAAACATGGCGTTCGAGTTTAGTCGCCATATTTCTCCCGGTCGAGTCAATTTCGCGTAACGAGACTGTTCTATGAATTCTTTCTGTAATTATAAAAATGTATTCGCAGTTTTCTTTCGCATGTAATTAGTAATTACAATATAATTAATTGTATATTCAAGTTTTTTTAAGCAGTGTATAAGTGAAATGTAGATTAATTTTAAATATCTTTTAATCGCTGTAAACGAATTTCATTGGTGCAATACCGTTTGCAGAATTTCGTGCTTGTCGAATGAGAAACATTCTACTGACAGCTGCTTTCCTGTGGAGCCATTTCAAAAACTTCTATCTCATCCGTAATTTCTTATGCTTCTTCTTTTTACGTAATTAAGGTATGATAAACATTCTTAAATAATTAATAAATATAATTAATGTAAAATGACCGGTCCCCTTCATAATGAATGTAATACATAAGTAACAGTTACAAAATACTTTTAACCAATATTTGTGTGTAACCTTTTGGAATAGTTGAAGAGAATATTAATTTTAACTTATAACTTTAATGTTGTTGAAAATAAATAATTATAGTCGTTAATAGTTCATTTTAAAGAAAATTAAAAAAATGAGAAAGGATATTTAGATTTGCTTGAAAAGAATTTAACAGTTTTATAAAAGTAAATACTTTTGGTGTGTTTTTTAAATAATCAATAGAAATAATTTGAATTTTTTTAATTTATGAGAATTGTTCTGAACGAAAAATAATATAGTTTGTATGGTACGTTCAACTATAAACGTGATCTTCAAATTACAATAATTTCTTTTGTAAATAATATGGAATGTAAGCAATTTTATTTGAAGCGTAACTTTTATTCAAAATAAATTTCCGTGTCACGTAAATGTGGCGCCATCTTTTGGCGGCTAATTCAACTACGTAAGATAGGAATATAAATTCAAGGACTGATATTTATATGCAAATGAATGCTATTGAATATTTAGATTATTTAACAATTCTACTAACAAACAGTACATTTAATTGTTGCATGGAAAACACATTTATCTGTTTCGAGTTTGCGTATGCATGAAAATTACTGTACAGATTATTTTATTCCTTTCTGATTTCTTCAATTATATTTATTCGTTGTAAACAAATTTTTTTCAACTGAATTTAACTTTATTATTATTAAAATTACATCGTGAGATCTTAATTTAAAAAGTAATTTTTAATTTTATCGATAATAATTTTTGCAGCAACGTATCGTAAAAAATCTGATAGTTATCGAATGATATAGGTTAAGGAACATTAGAATAAGTAAATCGTACACATTATATATAGTATGTATTATAGAACGTATTTACAATGATATATTTACACTGTCATTACAAAAGTTGTGTTAATAATACCACAGACTATATATTCATCGATTTATTTGACCGCATACGAACATTCACGCACCCACCAGCTAAAATAAACTATGCATCATTCCCATTCATACGATTTAAACGCTCGTTAAACACCTTTGAAAACGCAAACGCGTGACACGTTTCACGATTAACAGCGGAAAATAATTTAAATTTTAATCTCACACGAGTCGATTAAGTGACTATGAATCCTCGTATCATCTCACGAGCTTATAAAAAATAGAAATCTATACAAAAGAAACAGAGATAAAGATAGAGAATATCTGTACGACTACGTTCAACAAAATTGTTTAATTAATTAATATAAGTTCTCGTTCTATTGCACGTAACGTTTTTTCCATCGATTTAAAAATATATATATTTTAGTCGACGATCTGATTCCCTTTCGCATGGTAATCACGACACTATAAAATCGTGTTAAAGAAAACTTTCTACTTTCTACGCACACATATATAAATTACATTTACTACGCTCTACATATATACATATACATAGAAAGTAGAATCGTGCACGTGTATATGAATGTATGTACAAAACGGTACTCGTATCTGTTGCCATTCAAATATTCCTGAAAATGTGGAAACGTGTTTTATCGCAACAAATATTTCACCATTTTCATGTAATAATTGGTACTTTGTAAACGAGGGGTTTCTGGTATAAAATTAACTTAATTTTCGATGATTCTGCGCAATCAATTAACACCTTATCGACCATTAAATAAATAAAATATTGGAAGTAATCCATGTTAAGGGTCTCTTAACTCTCGATTAACGCAATTGACTCTATATTAATTCGACATATATTTTTAGGGTTCCAATTTAACTTTACATATATTTCCATTTTTATTTCTTACAATCTGAAATAAAATGGCTCCATTTAGTTTGAGAGTACAATAATTGGAGAGGTTTGGGTCAATTTAAGTAGCCCTTGTTACCCAAGAGTTAATAAATACTTAAATTTTATTATCGAGGCATTCTGAATGCTTCCGTACTTTTCGCTACACTTGATTTACTGCCACATATTCTAAGCATTCTAACAGTATAGATGGACATACCAGTGATGGGCAGATCAACAGCCCGCGGGCACTGGTGTGCACGATGCGTGCAGTGACGAGGCGTTGAAGATTTACAAAGATTTCAAATTTTACGCTTTGGAATTTAGAAATTTACAAATTGTATTTATGGAAATATTAAGTTTCTTAATTTTCATATCCATGAATTTGCAAATTATGTTGCACTAAAAAAATTGTAAATCACTATGTATTCAAAATTGAAAATTAAGAAATTTAATAAATTGCAAACTTGTAAACTTGTAAATTTGTAAATGTGTAAATAAATTTATAAATTTGTACGTTTGTGAATTTGTAAGTTTGTAAATTTGTAAGTTTGTAAATTTGTAAATTTGTGAACTTGTAAATTTAGAATTTAAAAAATTTAGAAATGTAGAAATTCAGAAATTCAGAAATTCAGAAATTCAGAAATTCAAATATTTAAAAATTTATAACTTTCAAATTCTCAATTTTATGAACTATTAAATTTCCAAATTTATCTAATAAAAAATTGTATAATCAAAAAATTCTAAATAATTAAACAAATTTTCAAATTAATGAATAATCAGTTTTTAAAATTATGAAATTAATTATTTATCAATGTTCACGAGTGTACATCATTTGCCCTAAAGAGTGCAGTTTCCAATCACTGTTATAAACTCTTATATTCATTTTTTATAAACATTTTTTAAAATGACAGCTATTATGTAAAAATTCAAATTAGATTGATTTAAATTCATTCAGGACATTAAATCAGCAATTTATATAAATACGAATACAAAAATAGTTATTAAACATTATACCGCATAAATTCTGATACATAATTATGTAAGATTTATTCATAATTTCTTTAACTTTTCAATTCAATTCGATATCTACAAAGTAGACTTGGAAGCGCAATTTACATGATTTACACTTATAAATCATTACTTTCAATTATGTAACAAAATATCATTAAGGATACTGTCAAATTATAACAAAGAAGTAAAAAATGTCGACATTATTTATACTATTAAATTCTCAAAAATTTTAAATTTGATGTGTCTGCAGAAATTTTCAAGACCATTTACACAATACATATTTTCATCAAGTTTTAAATTATTTCAAAAAGAAAATGAATCTATATGAAAGTATAAATGTCGAGAAATATAGATTCAAATTTTTCACGTGGAGCTTTATTTTTAAACAAATAAATTAGAGATATACTTAACAGGTATGCCTGCATTTATAATTGCTAAAAATTGTCTGCTAAATTTACTATTAAATAATAATTAACAAAATAAAACTTTTCTTATCAAAATAAAATTAGTTACAAATGAGTCCTATTTTTTACCAATATAATTCAGCAAAGAACAATTCATACCCAACTAATTGTCAATATCGATTTATTCTAAAAATACCATATTTTCGACTTACTTTGTTACAATACAGATTCACCTTTTTCTGATTCGATCATTATATCAAATGAAATTAGTACCGCTTTGTTAGCATCGATACTAATCACTGTTCAGTCGACAAGGTGTTAATTAGAAGAATCGATTGATTCTATTTTCTCGAGAAGTATCGCTTTCTGTCTTCGTGTTATCTTATAAAACAACCTTCTGTATGTACATGTACGCATCCGTGACGAGTATTACATACAATGTTCCTTTTCGTTTGATCAGACGCTTCTTCGTTCGCAAATATAAATAAAATAAGTCTAATTTACAAGAAACTGATTTTCTTCTTTATACCGGCTTACATAGATACCTTCGACGGGCAGAAAACACAGGGCGCTCGTGTTTTCCGGAGTAAAAAAAATGCAGAACAAGTGAAAACTTGTTAAGAATTCAATGTCTCTCAGACTATGATATAATCGAATGGGGGTTCGAGTCATTAAATTAATATCACTAAACGACTAATATTATCCGATTGAACGTTTCGACGTTAGATGAGATATTCGAGTTGATTAAAAAAAGATGAAGGTACGGAAGGATAGAAAGAAAGAAAGGGTTGGAGTATCGATTAGTGGCTCCGATTGTTACGCATATACAAAATTACCGTGATTATCGTTGTACCAGCGAGAAAACGGTGACACCTTGTCCGATCCTTCGTTTAAGAAATGGTAACATTTCTTCTTGTACTTATTTACAGCTATACTATATAAATTAATGGCGCACTCAAGATTTAATCCTAGAAGTAGCTGAGTTCAAAGTTTAATACAGATTTAATAAAATTCATTAGATTAGCAAAATTCATTTAATACAAAAATGTAGAAAAGCTAGAAAATCTAAATCTATTTTCATGGTATAATACTTGTGAATTACTTTATAAGTACTTAATTCATATATAATTGATTAGTAGCACGAGAGGACGACGCAACATAAATAAAATAGTGAATTTCAGCTAGAATAATTTCTAATGTTCTTTTTTTTATATTTTTTTAAGAGTCCCTCAGTTCTCAAAGTCTAGGAAAAAATTAAATAATATAATTGTTATTTTCATTTGTGAAATATTAACCATAGCTTGCAATTTGTAAAACAAATTCGTGTCAATTTTGTAACAAAAAGATTGAACATCCAAGATAAATATTATAAGATAATTGTATTTAATATTGTAGAATATTGTAATATTTGAGTGAATAGGTTTCAAAATCTAGTAATCATATACTTTGCCGTGAACAAAAATTAATTATATTAAAACTTAAGTGTCACTTAAAAGTCTGTTGAGAAATACGAAACATTAAAATGCGTGACTCATAGTATTTAAAGTTGTTTGAGGCTTGAATGAAATAGTTCCTCTTTTTATTGAATACTTAATGTAAATTAAAAATTATTGCTTTTAATTAACGTGTTATCAAACGCGTTTAAAAGCAATTTATCTTTGAATTTATTTTCTTCTCACAATTAGTATAATTTTTGTTTTTCTGTCGGAACGAGTATATAGCAGAGTGCATTGTGAATGTTCTTCAATTTTAGGAGATAAAATGCATAAATTTAAAAATGTAAATCTCTGAATTTATGAATTTTTTCATTTTTAAATTTCTGAATTTTGAAAATATGAAAATGTACAAATTATTAAAACTTCATTCAATCAACGAATGTTCATAGTGCATTACTTACAACGAACGTATAGGATCTCTTTCACTTATGTCACCGTTTTCCCTCTAAAACTCAACCATGCTTGGAAATTTACATATTTCACGAACTTTCAACGCGTTTCATAATTTCGACATTTTCGCACCAGGTATCACCCTTTTCTCTCCCGTCTAACGAATTTAGCCGCACCTTACACGTATATATTACAAAATATCCACTAAACCACCTGTCGGATCGCACCTCTTTGTCGATCAAAGTTCCCATCTTGAAATTCTCGCGATCGTTAGTACGGAAGCACTTGTTTCGTGAATTACACTATCTACTAGTCGAAATTTGGCACCAGACGACCGATGTTCTTTCGCGTCGCATAGATCCACCATCGATCAGTTTGTCGTTCACTTTTCTTCACACACGAACGTACAGACACTGCTATATTAAGTTTGATCAAACTGTATCTAATCGACTCGAGCGATCATGTTCCAAACACTGTACACATACTTCGCAATAAGACAAAACAAATCTACAAGACTTTCAGTACATCTTTAGAAATTCGAAGTTTAAGGTGAACTTCAAGATGTTCACAACTTCGAGACTTTCATATTTCGAAGAAGAATAAAATTCTTCAAATCGAGGTAACTTTGATTAGGCTAACGTAACTTTGTTCCAAAGATAGAAAATGATTCTTGCTGCTCTACAGATTATTAACCAGTTAATTGCGGTCGATGTATACACGTCAAAAACTCTACTCTGCTGCAGGGGTAGGCAATAACTACCCCCGTGGTACACCCAAACAGTTGATGATTCTACATAAAAAATTAGTTCGAAAATACAGGATAAAATTTTTTCATGTAAGATTTTGTCTGCGACAAAATTCGATAAAATATCATTTAGATAATTTATTTGCACCAGAAAACTATTTATTTTCGTTGTTTATAAAAGAATGGATAATGTGAAATTAAACAGTTAACTACGGTCTACGTATATGGTCGTGAATGCAAAACTTTATCCTGATGTTAGTCGACCTGTATACGAGTCTTACAAAATAAAAAATTATCATTGACTGTAAAAACCCGAAACTTCAATAAGATGAAACAGAAATGTCAGTTGGTGGTATATTACCTTTATATTACCAATAGAGCTGCAATGTATTTTACATGTATTTTATGAACAAAAAATTCATTATTTTTTTTGCACATTGTCACGTCGGTTTTTAATTCTCCTTACATGCTTGATTTTAATTCTCCATATCGTGAGAATTTTTCAAAACAACCCCGCAGTTAACTGGTTAAGTAAACTCATCGGTATTTTTTAACCGACCAGTTAAAAATTGTTTTAATGATGGGTTGAAAGTTCTTTGATCGATGAGCTAAAAATTTGTTAACCAATGCGTTAACACTAATATTACAAAAGTAATGAAATGTCCAGTTTACAAGTTTCTTATTATGTCACACAATTTGTTAAGGTAATGTCTTGAAACCTGCGTAGATTTTCATCGAAACAAAGTATTTCATTATTAAGTAACAATTTCATTAATTTCAAATTAAACACAAATTATATGTTGGTAGGTTTGCTGTTAAAAATTAACTAACAAACATTTATATTTGATCATTGCAAAATAGCAATTGCATAAAACAAATGCAGAGCGAAAAATAAGCATCTTTGATAGAAAGTTGTAGGTTAACCTGAGCAAAGTAATCGTACTTTACGGTAATGGAAACTATTACGAAGATGAGGTCGCTCGAATCGACGCGTAGAAGAAACAGATCTTGTTATCCACCGACGATCCACCAGGAAGTCTGTACTCCGTCAGCGTGGTTGTTCTTCCATCAAATTAATTTCCAGGACTGGAAGAGAGATTGTTAGTCGACTCGGCAATCTCTCGGAACGATCAATGGCAGCCGCAGCTCTTGACGACCATGTTTTTGTACTTCTTGAGTATAACGTTGCTCTCGTCGAGGAAATACAGCACGGAGATCGGCGAGAGTTTGGTCGGGGCGCAGCAAGGTTTTGGCACCTTACCAGGACTCACCAGGTGCACCAGGGTTTGGACGATCGCGTGGTTGGTGGCGTTCATGTGAGCGTTCAAAGGGAAATTGCATTCGCCGCTGCAATAATATGCGTCGTACCCGTCCGGTGCTATGATCCAGTCCTGGATAATAAATAATTCATTAATCGTACCTGGAAGTCCTGGGGATCGTGTCGCACACCGATCGCATCGTATGCCGAGCGATATTACACCTGTTGGCGCAACTTACCTGCCACTTCAGGTCCCTGAAGCTGACGTACAACGTTTGGATTTTACAGGTCCTCGAGTTGTACTGCACACCGGGATCTGAAAGATATTTATGAACAGTGCTTAACGTCTTTCCGATGTCTCCGATCGATTTAATCGATAGTTATTTATTTCTTTGGTAATCGTGAACGGGAAAACCCGTATGGACAGTGGAACATTTCGGAATAATATCGCGCGTGATGAGGCTTAGGTTTTTTAATATACAGTAGGGTTTTTATGTTGTTCAGCGCTTTTCGCGGAAATTGCAAGTACATCGTAGGCATTCTTCGGTTAACAAGAAATGTTAGATAACTATTTATTGATTCGATTCAATTTTAAGACATTGAATTAGTAATCTTGAAATTTTCTGTATTTGTGAATCTGTAAATTTGATTACAAAATGGTTAGGTTAATAATAATAAGATATCGTAAAGGTGTGATCAAAACTACAGAATTGTAAACATAATGAAACATACGTGTACTTCATATTACATTTTGGTTTCTAAATGGCTTGGTATGTATTCCACATAAAGAATCCTTGAAATTTGCAACTTTTCAAAGACCGAATCTTAAAATAGGATAGTCTTGAAAGTATAAACTCTCGAAATGGTGACAGATGAAATATGAAATTCGTAACAGGATATCAACCGATCTGTTATGGAACATAAAAAATTCAAAATGTGCTATAAAATACACATATGCAGATACAACTTCATAGGTGAAATTAGCACAGAACACTAATAAAAAGAGATATACACAGGCATCGTTACATCAGACTTCCTTTCTCTTTGTATTACCTGCTATTATAACATACTGTTTTTATTAAGAGAACGGAATAATTTACAGAAAATTATGAAGGTTTTATCAACAATCCAGCCCATTAACAAACCACGTACATGATATTTCAATTTAAAACAAGATTTATTCAGGCAAAAAGAACTACAACTTGAAAACAAGATCGTTTAGACGTTGTTAGTGCAGTTAGATTCACACGTTCATTACGATTTCATTTCCTACTAGTGTGTTGAAAACTGAATTTCTTTTTTTATCTCTGACTGTGATCGGCTTGTATTAATTGGCGATGTGCAAGTATAGTTACACACATTAATATTCGGACACTGCAGTATTTCTACTTTTGTTATTGCATACAGAAAGGGGTCAATTACCATATTGCTTATTTTACAAAAAATATGTCATTTATTTTAGATTGAAAATATATAAACAATTTCATTTCAACTATAATATTTTGATGTGTAATACATTTCAAACGACAGGTTATATTTTCGTGTCACATTGATGTTCGGACATTTTATGAGAAATTTATATGTAAAATGTAGGACAAACTACAATTTTAATTATTTGTTTCAAACCCTTTTTGTTTATACCTTCATGTAATCGTTTGGGCATTTTAAAAATTATTTTGTTCAAATATTCCGGGGAAGAATACCATTCTCCTTTCAGTCTCGTTTGTAATTTAGCTTTCGAATTTATTAGTGTTTTTCTAATTCTTTGATCTAATTTATCTCATAGATTCTGTATGCGATTCATGTCGGGTGGTGGAGGTGAATGTAAAACTTTTGGACAATTATATAACAGATATTCCTGTACTATTCGAGCTCTGTGCTTTGCATCATTATCCACATACAATTTGAAAGTATTTTATATTTCCATATTATTTGCACTTTTCAGTAATTTATTTTAAATGTCTATATTCTTATCTAAAATATTGTCAGCGAATACCAATTCACCAACGCCTGCATTAAAAATGCACTTCCATCCAGACGAAAGCTTTTCAGTGTTTTAAAGTAGCTTTTAGAATTTTTTACTTGAAAGCTTCATTTATTCTTCGCCACGCTGCACTTTTTCTACAAGAACCAAAAATACGATATTCTCTCACCAGCAAAAATAACATCTTTCCACCAATCTTGAGACTTTTCAAGAAATTTTGTGGCGAAAATCAGTCTTTCTTCCAACTTCTACCATTAGTTCGGTTCTCTTCTTGCTATTCGATCATTATACCCATTGTTTCTCATTATTCTATTCACAGTTTCACCACTAATATTCTTTCCACTTTCATGATAAACCTCTGAAGCTGATTCCACAATATTGCAAAACGGAGTTTGTTAACTTTTCGCATTAATTTCCTTTCTTCTCTTCCATTCAAAATTCAAATTTACCTTTTCTTAAATTCGATGCGATCTTCCAAATCTTTTAATGTCTGCTACCGTGCTCTTCTTCGTTATTAATAACCGTCATATTTCTTGACTAGTTTAACCTCTCTCTCTATGATAAATTACAAGTTGCTTCTCATCAAAACTGGTATCTTTCCTTTTCGTTGCATGTGAAATTTTAGTTGTTGACGCTTCTAAGTACAACCTTGTGCTAAAATACAATTATATTACTGATTTGCATACAAATCAGCCTTATCCCTCAGTTCAAATGGCTACAAGTATTGCTAGTTTGCAGAAAGTGTACCAGCGTTCGAATATTAATGAGACGTGAAAATATATTATGTTTAAAATGATTTTATCTTAGTATTATTGCAAAAAGAAGTTATTGACGTATTTTTACTCCGCAATTAATAGTTCATCTCAAAATAAGTAATATAATATCAAACTTAGTTGCTCCTATGCAAATCAACAAAGGCCGTAATAGTACCGCATTCAAATATTAATGCAACTGTATGTATGCATTTACATGCACTTTGGTAGGCATTAACGCATTTACCTTCAAGACTTACCGGTGTACGGATTATTCCGATAATCCAAACTCGAGGACTCGCTTTTCTTTCTTCTCCTCGCGTCTCGTTTCTGTCGCACTTTCGACTCCCTGATTCCAGAACTTTTGAAATAACCGACCATAAACGGTTGTTTATCAGGATCACCTCGGAATCCGACGATCCCGATGTCTTCTGGTCTCATCTCGTGCACTGCAACAAACACGATACAATTCTCATTTAATGTTTTCTTCGTGCAATGTCTATAACTCGATTTTTTCTTTGGTTTCGATTAGTGCTACTGATCGTATATGGATTTCCTGCTACTGAACGTGCACAGCGTAGAAAAGCGAACCGCGCTATAAGATAATTTTATATAACACTATGCAGTTTATTGGAAAGTTGGATATTGTATTTTTATGTAGAACTGTAGTTCTAGGAATATGAAAATCTAGAATGTAATGATGTAGAAATTTAGATATAAAGATAGATGGATATAGGGAGATAGAGAATTTTAGGATGTGGGCTCTAAGAATGTGGATGGTTGGAATGGGTGTAGAAGGATATAGAGTACATAGTGACATAAGGATTTAGAGATGTAGAGATTCAAAGATGAAAGGATATAGACTTATAGGGATTTAGGAATGCAGGAATTTGAAGATTACAAATTCTCAAATTCCCAAAATTCCAAAATTCCAAAATTCCTAAATTCCTAAATTCCTAAATTCTTGAGTTCCCGAATTCCTGAGTTCCCGAATTCCTGAGTTCCCGAATTCCTGAATTCTCGAGTTCCTGAGTTCCTGAATTCCTAAGTTCTTGAATTCCAAAATTCCAAAATTCCAGATTCCAAAATTTCAAATTCCAAAATTCCTAAACATAATATTCCCAATTGTAAAAAGTCCAAATCTCTAAATATTTGATCGTCGACAAAACTTTCTGATCAACCAAATAGAACACATGGAAGAATAAACTCTTGCTTCAAATTCCAGCGAACTATTCAAGCGATGAAGCAGCAGTCAAATGAGATTAATTAACAATCAGTGGAGCAGCAATAAATAAATATCAACGTGTTTTTAAGCAATTCGTCAAATTTTTATTAAACACGTGGTGTTAGAAACGATATGTCAGTGGCAATGATTTATTTAACACGTTATAGCTGAAACCGAACGGTTTGCTTATAAATAGAGAGAACCTTGCGTGCTCGATACCTGTGGCTCGTATTTTTTCATTCTGAACAACATTCTAAATTGAGCCGTTCGCGTGACAGATTACTATCGATGTTATTTAAGACGAAATCATGGAAAATCTCGGTTTACGATGATTTTCTTTAAAAATAACGAGTATCCCCGGCGGTAACGATCTGTTTATTCAGATTTAAACGTGATAAAAAAATAATGAGATTCGTAATAAGCTGCTTAATCAACTTGCAAAGTTCATTAAATCGTGAGAGGGACACTCGAGGCAGTTTTCTTAAATGTAAGAAAGGTATAAAGTTGGCGGAATTTTTTGGGATGGAAAATTTGAGGAGAAAATTTTGACTATTTCCTTAACTTTCTTTGGGAAATTGAAGAATTGTGAAATTGGGGATTTAGGAATTTGGAAATTTGGGAACATGAAAATTAAAAAATTTGGAAATGTGGACAATTCAGAATTTTGGAGTTTTTTAATTTCTGAATTTTGAATTCTTGGAATTTTAGAATTTTGATATGTTGGAATGTTGAAAATTTGGAAATTTTGGTATTGCGGTATTTCGGTACTTTGGAATTTAAAAATTTGAAAATTCTGGAATTTTTGGAATTTTGGAATTTTGGAATTTTGGAATTTTGGAATATGGAATTATTGAATCTGGAATTTCGGAACTTTGGAATTTTTGAGTTTTGGAATCTGGAATTTTGGAATTTTGGAATCTTGGAAGTTTGGAATTTTGGAGTTTTGGAATCTGGAATTTTGGAATTTTGGAATTTTGGAATTTTGGAATTTTGGAATTTTGGAATTTTGGAATCTGGAATTTTGGTATTTCGGTACTTTGGAATTTGAAAATTTGAGAATTCTGGAATTTTTGGACTTTTTGGACTGTTTGGAATTTTGATTTCGATTTCTGGAATTTGACAATTTATTTCAGAATTTCGAAATTTGAACGTTCCAGAATTTTTGAATTTTCGAGTTTTTGTGATTTGGAACTCTGGAATTTTGGAATTTGTATACTTATCAATGTTTCTTACAGAACATTCAGTTTATGTAAAAGGCTTAATACAATATTACGCAAATTAACGCAGCAACACATTATCTTGTAATAAAATTATTTATTTATTGTTCATTATTTATTGTATTGCTCATACGTTAGTCAGATCAATCTACATAATCGATATCAATAATTATTACATAAAATCAATAGAATAATTGATACATAACTCAGATTATACGTTAATTTACTTGAATGCAGTGAGTAAAATTAAAAAGAATGATTTAAACATAGTTTATTTGAATTAAATACAAAAAAAACTCTGTTTTGCTATATTATTGGTAAAATTTAAATAACGAAGCAACTCAAATGATTTATTATTTTAAAATATTCTGAATGAATTTATTATTTAAAATTACTGTAAAATAAATAATGATTTTGAAATATTCTGCAATAATTCACTGTTCAAAAATGCTATGAATTAATTTCTTATTTTAAAATACTCTGATTTAAAATACTGAATTGATTTCTCATTTTAAAATATTCTGAAACAAGACATTATTTAAAAATACTATGAGTTAATTTCTTATTTTAAAATACTCTGAAGTGATTTTTGATTTTGAAATATTATGAGATAATTTATTATATAAAAATGCTTTGAATTGATTTCTTATTTTAAAATATTCTGAAATAATATATTATTTAAGAATGTACTAATTAATTTATTACTTCAAAATAAATTGAAATGATACATGATTTCTGTTGAATGTTTATGTTACTACAAATAAAATAAACAAATTCTGCTGCCATAAATTGTGATTCTTATTTACCAGCTGTTCGAGTGCACTGTCGTAGTTTCACTTGCAATAATATTCTTGACATTAATATCGGACCGATTACCAATGTGCAGAACAGCTTGCGACACTTCATGCAAATGTATGTAAACTGACTCTATTTTTATCGGGCTCAAAACTCTTAGGAAATGTAATTATTACCGCATGAATATTGAACCAGATATCTGGCAATCACAAACAAACAAATCTAATAACTTTATTAGCTTTTGGGAATGAGATTGAATGAAATTAAATTCGATATTTGAGTCTTGGTCAATTTAACAATTAAGGAAATCACTTCATCTCTGCAATTATGTTTTTTTTTTGTCTGTTCTGTATTTGTAAATAAGATGTTTGAAAAAGTGATTTTTTTGAGAAACATTAAAAACGAGAAATTTGTTAAAACAATAAGAAGACAATATTTCTATTTTCAAAAATTATAATTATTTTTATATTCTACAAATTATAATACTTTTGGAAATGTGGTGACCAAATGGGGACTTTTGATCAGTTGAAATTTTAGAAGTTTGAGAATCTAGAGATTTAGAAATGTGAGAATTTGTATTTGAAAATTTGAAATTTTGGTAATTTGAAATTTAGTAATTTAGTACTTTAGTAATTTAGGAATGCAGGAATTTAGGAATTCAGGAATTTAGGAATTTAGGAATTTAGGAATTTAGGAATTTAGGAATTTAGGAATTTAGGAATTTAGGAATTTAGGAATTTAGGAATTTAGGAATTTAGGAATTTAGGAATTTAGGAATTTAGGAATTTAGGAATTTAGGAATTTAGGAATTTAGGAATTTAGGAATTTAGGAATTTAGGAATTTAGGAATTTAGGAATTTAGGAATTTAGGAATTTAGGAATTTAGGAATTTAGGAATTTAGGAATTTAGGAATTTAGGAATTTAGGAATTCAGGAATTTAGGAATTTAGGGATTTAGGAATTCAGGAATTCGGGAATTTAGGAATTTAGGAATTCAGGAATTCAGGAATTCAGAATTCAGAATTCAGGAATTTAGGAATTCAGGAATATAGGAATTAAGGAATTTAGGAATTTAGGAATTTAGGAATTCAGGAATTTAGGAATTTAGGAATTCAGGAATTCAGGAATTCAGGAATTCAGGAATTCAGGAATTCAGGGATTCAGGAATTTAGGGATTCAGGAATTTAGGGATTCAGGAATTTAGGAATTTAGGAATTCAGGAATTTAGGAATTCAGGAATTTAGGAATTCAGGAATTTAGGAATTTAGGAATTTAGGAATTTAGGAAGTTAGGAAGTTAGGAATTTAGGAATTTAGGAATTTAGGAATTTCAGAATTAAAAAATTTAAGAGTTGTCATTTCTGAAATAAAAGCTGGTAAAATTTATCTTCAAATATTGTCAAAACCAGAAATTTTCAAATTTAGAAATTTGAAAGTATAGAAATGTTTGCATTTGAAAATTACAAGCAGAACACTTAAAAAAAAGAATTTATCAATTTAGAAATTAAGAAATCTGAAAATTTTAGAACGCGAAGATTTCATTCTTCAAAATTTGCAGAAACAAGTCCCAAGCTTGAAAATTTATAAAATTAAAAATTCTTGATCCTGAAAATCCCAAATTTTAAAACTCCGAGCTTCAAAATTTCCAAGCTTGAAATTCGCAAATTTAAAAACTGCAAGCTTAAAAATTTTCAAATGTAAAAATTCCCAAGCTTGAAAACCTAGAAACTTACGCCCTCAAAAATCAATAATTCATGAGTATACCTTCACACGTGCTCTCCGTAACTACCCGTCTCGTTATCGTAAAACTTGAAACGAATCTCCCGCGGATACAGAGATTCCTTCTTCATCGCTTAATTGACATTTTAGCATTGTATCATCACGACACACGATGTACACATTAAGTTTGAAAAATATAGACCGGGCGAGGGTTAATCTCAGGTTTCTTGAGGTTACTTATAAGGTAGATCATGTAGATTACGAATCGTTCTATCGACACGTGTGTTTTACGAGGTCCCTGAAATTTCTCTCAGTCGTTTCTTTATGCATGCCGCGTAAAGATAATTGAGAATAATCGATCGATCGGCGTGCCAGCCAGCTGACGGAACGATCAATTAATTAAACGTGCCACGGTGGTAGCGGTTGACTTAATTGCAGGGCCAACGTGTTGGGAAACCATGAACTGTCGCCTATATCGATAAAGTGAATGGCTC